GTTGCCGCTGAGCTGTGCTTTTGGGTTGTTGCGGGCGTTGCTCTTCCCTGCCGCACAGTTCAGCTGTGAAGTTTGCAGGGAACGTACTTCGTTCTCAGGATGGAATTCGTGGGAATTGCGTGTAAAACTGTCGGCACACGTTGAGGTTGTGTCTTGTTTGTAAGCGAGGAGAGAGAGGATGTTGTTTGTTTTCCTTTTGTAGTGGTGGGGTTTTATTGTGTAGAAGAAGTGGTGTAATCTCAGTTTTTCAATGGCTGAAGGCTATCTGCAGTCCTCTGAGAAAAGAGATGGGTGCTGTTTCTGTCTGTTTCTGGACTCAGAGGTATTTTTCTTCCAGTATTTAGTCCTTCGTAGCTAAGGTTGGAAGTGACCAGACAAAATCTACTGTGTTTCCTTGCTACGTGGCAGGGCCAAGTGGGTCTAAAACTGGTCCCAGCTAGTGTTTGTGTAGCCTCACGTGTTAGAGATTAGCCAAGTAGATAGTGGGACTGTCCTGTTGCTACCCGGAGCCTGCTGTAGGAGCAGGCCACCACTTTCTTAAAGCTTCGCATCATGTTTTGTTTGTTTTTTTCTCCAGACTATAATGTCATATTTATTATTCTTAAGTGCCTTTTTTGATTCTCTGTTTTCAAAGAGAGCTTGTGCTCTTGCAGTAGTGAATGTGATGGTTCTTGAGTTCAAGAGGTTCTTGAATCAATAAACTTCCTGTTTCTCTCCAGGAGCCAGTGGTGCTGACAGATACAAATCTGGTTTATCCTGCTCTGAAATGGGACCTGGACTACCTGCAGGAAAACATTGGCAATGGGGACTTCTCAGTGTATAGTGCCAGCACACACAAGTTTTTGTACTATGATGAGAAGAAGATGGCAAATTTTAAGAACTTCAAACCCAAGTCGAGCAGAGAAGAGATGAAGTTTGCTGAGTTTGTGGACAGACTCAAAGAAATACAACAAAAAGGAAGTGCTGAGAGGTGAGTAACACGTGGAGGTTTCTCCACTTCTGCAGGTCTGAGGAGTAAGTTTATCTTCAGTGAGTGCTGATGGCTAAACCCTCTCAAATGTTTCTTTTTTATACCCCTGCTTTTCCTGATCAAACTGTTTACATTGTCTGAAGAGGTTTTTATTTTTTTCTTCTCTGTCTGAGGCAGGGTTTGGATAGAGGAAGCCTTGACCTTCACTTTGTTTTGGTAGACTGTGTTATTGGTAGAGGAGCTTAGTTATCTGGTGCAAAGGTACAGGCTGTGGCACTCAGCCTTTTTTTTTACAGAATAGCAAGGCAGCTGGTGCTAACCCTCATTCAGTAAGATGGGATGATGTTGCATATGTGCTGAGTATTTGTTGGTGCTGATGGTGTACATCACTAACAGCTGTAATTTACTGAGAGAAGCTTCATATTTATATGGGATATTACTCTGAGCAGCTGTAGTGAAATAGCCAGTTAATTTTATCACTTACTAGCTATTTAAAAGGAGATATAGATGTTTTATTGTATCTTAACTGGAAGCAACTCAGTGTTTATGTCCACTTGTTGACTGTGCTTTTTTCTTCTTTCTCAGTTTTGGGTGTGCTTTTTCCAAGAGAGAAGGCAGTCCTTGAGCTTAAAAATGTATTTTTCTTCCAGCATTGCAGACAGCAGTCTGTAGTACTGCAGTTGTTAACACTGATGTTTGACTCCTCTGATCCTCTATGCCTAATGTGAATGTGGCTTTAAAGTAATGTGACACTGAAGCATGTTGGGTTTCCTGAGCCCTTTTTTGCATTTGTGCACTTCTGGTACAAGAGGTAACTCTTACTGCAAATGATTCACAGTGGTGCCATTTATCTGGAGATTATTTATTAGTGTGTTCCATATTTTATAGTGGCCAGTCTTTTTATCGTTTTCTCTTTCTGTACTGTGAAGGCGTTATCCTTGCTCCAAAATTCTCTATTTTTCTCTTGTGATCAAGCAGAACTGAATTCTGTCCCTTTCTGTACCAGGAAATGTTCCAGCAAAGTCTGGGGACTTTCTGAAGCTGTTTCCTTCCACAAGTGTTTATGGTGTGTGGTGATAGAACAGAATCTCTAAAAGTTGTCTCTTTGTTTTGAAGTCATTCTGAAGAGATGCAGAGATAAGTCTTCATGGCAAAGATTAATACTTGTTTTCTGCTTCTCTCTGGGGAAATACAGGCTATATCTGCAGCAAACCCTGAATGACACAGTTGGAAGGAAGATTGTGGTGGATTTCCTTGGCTTCAACTGGAACTGGATTAACAAGCAGCAGGGGAAGCGTGGCTGGGGTCAATTGACCTCCAACTTGCTTCTTATTGGAATGGAAGGTAAGCAGTTTCCTCTGGAAGGAAAATGGAGATTTGGTCAGCAGTTCTGCATTTGATGTCCAGAAGGTCTTTCAGTTGGATTTTCCACTAGTTCTATGTGTTCTGTCATAGCAGGTAGTTTGAAGCTTTGGGCTGGGAGGGATCTGTTGTCACAACTTAGCTTGGGTTACAGAGAGGAAACAACCAAAGGAATAGCCTGTGTTTCCCCAGAGATGTACTGTGAATGGAAGGGCTCTGTGTGACACTGGTAGGGCTGCCTTTCTATTTCCAGTTTCTCAGAGACCTGTTTATTGTTTTGAACTTTCATATGCTGTAGATTTTAAGTGCTCAGAATTGGCAGATTTGAAATGCAAAAGGATTTGCAATTTGAGCAGAGTTGGTCTTTGGGCTTTTCTTAGCACATCCAGTGTCTACCTAGGAGGAAATGTCAGTTATTCTATGAAGCATTTGTTCTTATTTGAACTGGTACACTCTGGGGAGAAATTGTCTTTCAATTAAGAGCTGAATTTCTTCTTGGAAGGTTGGGGGACAGTGGAGAACTTGATAAAACCTAAAAATATCTGGATAGAGTGGAATTCCAAATCCATGTGGAGACTGACTCATAGGTGCCTTAGAAGACAGAGATACAACTATGCAGTTGGCAAGGAGAGCATTCTAGTAGAAAGTGATCTCAAAAACTGGGCAAGGAACTTCCACAGTTTTGTGGAGTGGGGTGGCCTGCACATCCAATTATCATTGTCCAATTACAATTATTTGACAATTTGTGGCTGTTCAGTTCTGACAGCAGATGTTTTTTGTCCTTTGCAACAAGTCATACTCAGAGTAGTTTTTCTTTGCCACTTGTTTTACTAGCTGAGAGCAAAGAACCTGACATAAAAGCACTGCACCAACACTTCCCTACAGGTCAAAAAACGATCAGTGAAATCCTCTTTGCAACAGGTTACGCACAAGAACCAAGGAGTTGTCTTGAACCAGTGCGTGGTAGAAAAAGGAGTATCTTGTCAGAAACATGTGATTCTATGATTTATTTAATGAACTGTTAATTTAATTCTCTTCAGTGAAAATTCATATAAGGCGCAAACTAAAAGAGTAGTATCTGATTTAGCAAATAGCCTGAAAAACATAGTTGTGAGGTGTGCAAATTGACCCACTGTGTTTAAAGATTTGATTAAATTTAAGATCTAGTCGTAACAGTCAAGCTTCATAACCGTTAATGAGACTGAGTAGGTGCTGTTGGGAGCCCTGATGACAAAGATTTGTTTACTTGTTTTTTTGCAAAACTACTAGTAATTTTTTCAAATACCAGACTGTTAGATTCCTTTTCTCAAGACTAATGATTTTTGAAAGTCCATGCACAACTTGTCATCTAAACAGACTGTTTTATGAAAAAGTGTCTTGTCAATGTTTGCCATCTGCTGTTCATGGAAACAAGCTGGAAATCCTAATCCTGTAGTAGATAAGTTGCTGAATATAGATTTAGGGTGGAAATTGTTGAGTGGGGTAGCAACTGTTGAATAAAAGCTGACTGATACAGCAATGAGTTTGTAACCATCCTGTGGTCATTTTCCTTGTTTAGTTTGCTGAACACATAGCAGTGCATTTACTGTCTTGAGTAAGGAATAGAACTCCTGTCTTTCATACCTGTGTAAGAGTGTCTTTTCTCTCTGTGCAGGGAATGTGACACCAGCTCATTATGATGAACAGCAGAACTTCTTTGCTCAGATTAAGGGTTACAAGAGGTGTATCCTGTTCCCTCCTGATCAGTTTGAATGCCTCTACCCTTATCCTGTGCACCATCCATGTGACAGACAGAGCCAGGTGAGAGTAGCAGATCTGCCCTCTGCCCCATGCCAAAAAAGGGCATTTGTGATGATGGTAGGTGGGAGGAAGCTGCACTGGAATGAAAGCTTCATACCACTTGCTGAGCTTTTGCAAAACCTGCTAACTGGTGAATACATTGAGAATAGATGGAAGGACTGGTGATGTTTCTTTGTCCGGTCCTGTCTTGCAATTGCTAGGGCTAGAAACATCTTTGATAGCACAACTGGACTGCACTTGGTACCTTCTTTGTTCTATTTCATCAATCACTTGGTCAAACACAGATTTGCTCAGAGACAAAATGAAGGACTCCTGTCTGTGTTGGTGATACTTTGGGGGTACTACAGGACCTTTCAATGGAGTTAAGACGGAATGTATGATTCATAGCAGGAAGATCAGGATTTGATTCTGAGAGACATTGATAAGGACTATTATTTCAGGAAGTTTTTCTGAGTTTCTTAATGCTTTCTTCTGTTAGGTGGACTTTGACAATCCTGACTATGAGAAGTTTCCAAACTTCCGGAGTGTGGTTGGCTATGAGACAGTGGTGGGTCCAGGGGATGTGCTATACATACCTATGTACTGGTAAGAACAATGGTGGGGGACTGCACAGTGACCCAGCTAGCAGAGGTTTAAAACGTCTTCTGCTCAAAGTCTTGTGTTGGCTCTTAACAGAATTTTGCTTTAACTTCTCCAGCAAGCATGATATTTTCTGTAGTGTCTATGGCCAGTCTGCTTCTGTTTCCTGTCTGTTGGATGGGCATGGTGATTCTTCCTGATAGTATGTTATCTTGTGAGTATTACACTAATGTGTGCAAGAAAAAGATCCTTATTTAAAGAAGGAGAGCTTTCCAGATGTTCTGGGGCGTTAGTGATGGAGATATAGGGCAAGGCTTGTCTCATGCAGCCTGAACTCATCTATCCAAGGTATTTCACTGTAAGCTAAAGCAATAGTTTATTCTCTTTTTTTTTTGTGTGGTTTCCTTGCAGGTGGCACCACATTGAGTCTCTCTTGAATGGAGGGATCACCATCACTGTGAACTTCTGGTATAAGGTGAGTTCAGGTACCTTACTGGGAAGCTTGGATAGCTCAATCCCAGAGGATTTTTTCAGTTAGTGTATTGGCATGTGTGGTCAATGTGAGAACTTCATTGCACTAAATCCTTCACTTTAAAGCTGAAAAGTACTTCCTTTTAAGTGGTGTGTGAGGAACTGGGTGGCTGGGAGAAGGTGGAATAGTCTGCCAGTTCAGGAAGTGTGTAATGAGCTGGTTTTGATATTACAGGGTGCCCCAACCCCAAAGAGAATTGAATATCCATTAAAGGCTCATCAGAAAGTCGCAATCATGAGGAACATTGAGAAGATGTTGGGAGAAGCCTTAGGAAATCCACAAGAGGTACAAAAAAGAACCATATAGCCACTGTAGTTGGCTCAATGTGAAACTTGAGATGCCAACTATTTGGCTCTGCAGGTGTGACAATGAGGGTAGGATAAAGAAGGTTGTTGTGACTGATGCTTCCTGGTGTCTTTAGAAGATCCTTTGACTACACAAAGGCAATCTCCTTAAATATAATTTTAGAGAGGACCACTACAAAGAATGGAATATTGTTCTTGTATCTGGGAGAAGGTGTACTTTGGCTTTGGGCACTGCCAGGGAAGTGTTGTTTCCAAACTCTCCTTGGCCTTCTGTGCAGCAAGAATACCCAGTATTTGCAAAAAAGAGTGCATTTTACCTGTTGAATCCAAATCTCTTAAATAGGAAAACCTTTTCTATTAAGTCCCTTCCTACTTAACACATCTTGGTCATTCCTGAACTCTTTGCAATTTTAATAAACTGGTATTCCACAAAGCAAATTGAAGTATGAAGAATATGGTTTTGAAGATCTCTTGCTGTCTGAAAGTGGAAATCCTAAATGTGAATAGAAGTGTTTTTATGGTCTGTAACCCTTTCCACTATGCTGGATCTTCTCTGTAGCACGCTCATGTGAGATCATGCCTTTCCCTGAGATTATCTTGCTGCTTAGTATGCTGAATGTCCCTCAGTTGATCAGGCACTGCTTAGAAAATGGGAGTGGTCTTAACTGAAAACAAAACCTTTATCAAAATTGTCAGTCCTCGCTGTCATTCCAAATGATGTCAGGGGCCAGAGAAGATTCAATAAGTAAGAATGTTCCTTCCCTGCCCTGCAAAAAGAAACCCCTATGACTGTTGGCTCCTTTTCATAGCATCTACTGAGAAATCACAAATGTAGGGTAGGAAGTGAAAAAATGTCAAATACTGTGGATGCAATATTTTGGTAATAACTGAAGTTGGGTGTTGGCAGAGAATCCAGCAATTTTGGTAGGGTATTTGAGGATGTGCTTAAGGGTGCCCCAGTGTTTCATCTATAAAATGCTTCAAAGCTGATTTGGTGTTCCTTAGGCTTAGTGTGTAGGCTGAGATCCTCTGCCTTGGGCCCCTCAGCTTGTAAGCTGCTGTGATGCAGTGGGAGCAGGCTCTGCAGCTGCCATTTCTGTGTAAGTGTCCTGGCTGATGTTCTGTTTTTGCTTTGAACAGGTGGGTCCCTTGTTGAATATGATGATTAAGGGACGGTATGACTAATGCCTGGCTGTCGGGTGACTGATGTTGGAGCTGCTTTTTTCACAAGCAATGGAAGATACTGAGCGCTAGTATTGCACGCAGCACTTAACAGACTGGAGGGGTTTCCTGGCCCATCCTTGCCCCACTACAATAAAGGGGGCTACTGGAACTGCAAACCCATTAGTACCCCGTTCATCCTCCAATCTCATCTAACCGAACCTCCCAAGAAAGAGCCTGCACTTACTGGAAGCTGGATTCATGCTCACCAGTTTGTTTTTTCTCCCTCTGCCCTGTTTGCTACAACAAGGATCATGGCTTCTGGCACTTGGATGTGTCACTTCAGGATTTTCAGGCATTTGAAGAAGACTGGAGGAGAATCAGGAGTGATCTTGTGTCCTCAGCCTTGTGGGGCTTGGGCCTCCTGTTTGGGTTTGTGTTGGTGGATGTAAGATGGGAAGTGATAGGCTTCACAGTCCTCTGTTGTTAGAGGACCTGTCCATGCTCATCTCTGGCACCTCTCTGTATGATGGAAATGAACATGTGAGCTGGCCTGTGTATGATGAGCAAGTGGACAAATTATTCAGTTTCTTCAACTTAAGACATTTATGCTTTGGACTTAGTACAGGGCAGAGATCAGAGTGAATTCATTTAGCATGTGAGCACCAAATCCTATGCTCTCCAAATAACATCTGTGTTGTAGAAGTCTAGATAAACCTCCTTTCTGACAGCTTTCTCTGGGGAGTGAAGGCTTCTCTCGTGCTCTTTGGAAGGTGCAGTGTGATTGAAAGGAGATGTAGCATTATGAAGGGAGATGCATAAATGTCAGGGTGCTTTCCCAAGTCTTGAATGATTCAGCCACATTTTAAAAATAAATTCCCCAGGGGTGCTGAGCTAGACTGTCAAAATGCAGTGTCAGACAGGTTCAGAGCCTCCCTTCTCCCTACCTAGGGTTGCTGGTTCCTCAGACTAACAAGGGAAAGTGCCCTTTTTACCAAAACTGCAGGAACTCAAGTGTGTGTGGCTGTGCACAGGTGCACATGTTTATGTGATGTTGTGTGGCTCCTGTCCATCAGTTAAATCCATACCAGTGTGTGGTTCCCTGTGAACCACAGTCACCTGAAAGAGGTCAAGGCTTTCTGTTCAGTGTGGTTATCTTTATCTTTTTTGTATTCTGAGACTTGACATGGCACAGGAGGAAGTGACAAGACCAAGGCATAGGAACCAGACAAGCTTCTGTTTAAGAGTTCTCAATCACCCCAAAAAATCATTTTGCTTTCCTTCTCTTCCATGCAAAAGCCTTAGGCTCATATGGAGGCTCCTTTTTATTCCCTGAGGTGTGCTGCACTGCTGTTCCTTGGTTTTGAGGTGGTGCAAAGGTCTTGTATATTTGATGCGGTTGTAATGGGTCCCAAGAAGTGGGAGAAGCTTTTTCATAGCCATTGTATCTCATCCCAGAGAACAGTAGAGAATTTGCTTTGTTGAGACTTCCCAGTGTTTTTTCCCTCTTGTTCTTCAAGGCTTGTTCTGATGTACGATTCTGATAAATGTGTTGAGAACATGCCACTCAAGAAGCGCTTAGTCTTTGATCTCAGGCCCTGCATTTTACTGGGACAGCTCATGCACCACTTGCTTTGGGCTTGTCTTGCACAAACGTGAAAGGCTTCTCAAACAGGAGGTCCCAGGGTCTAGTTTTTTGGCTGCTTTACAGGTCAGAACAAATGAAGTGTAATTGGCAGCTGTAGGGTCCTTGTTTAAGAAATATGTTGTGTCACTGAGTAGTCTGACTGCCATGTTACTTGTTGCAGACTCCAGAGCTGTGTTTAGATACAAACGAAAGTCACTCAGCTGGAAACTTAGCAATGCCAAGCCCTTGGGCAGGTGGGGAAGAATGCTAAGCTGCTGACTGGCTGAAAGCAAGGCTTCCCAGGAATCCTGGGCACATGCCCTTCATTTAAAGATTCTCAAATAAAATTCCATCCCTGTGCTATTTATTAAGGACATAGTAGTCTCCAGTACTGTTTGCTAGGCACCATCAACTCTTGAAGCTCAGGGTGGGAGTTCATATCCCATGTGGAGAGAGAATGGTACTTACAGAATTTTGGGATCTTTTTATTTTTTTCCTTTATTTGCCAAAGGTCTAACCTTTAAAGTGTCTGAACCGTTTTTTGCTGCACTTGACTTCGTGAAAGCTCATTTACAATGCACTGATGGACTGACTTCCCTCCCCTTCCCTTTTCACCTTGTGCTTTCAATGCCCCTTGCCATGGTATTGGGAAGCTGTGTGTTCTCTGCTAGGGGTGTGTGTGCAGGGGGTGGGGTGTGACGAACACACGGTACCTCTGAAGTGTAGTTCTTAAATACAACCAATGTTGAACAACAGAACTGTGTGGCTTTTATTTTATCAGTGCCTGTGCAGGAGAGCTATGTATAAAGCTGCTTTTCAGTCTTTCCAATAACTCTGCTTCTGTTCTTCACTGTTGAAAGCTGCTGGTCTCTAGAACTGCCTTCAAAACAGCAATACCAATTTCATTATTATTGTGTGTCCTTGTCTTTCCTCAGACTATTGTCATAAGCCTGAAAGGAAAGCTGGGAAATAAGGTGGTATCCTTGAGCCCTGACAACAAGTCATGAAAAGGGAACAGATTCCCCTCCCTGCTTACTTAAATGGTGTCACCATGCTCTGGTCACTGGTGGGACCAATGGAGCAAAATATGCTGTTAGGTCTAATGAGTTCTATCAGTTGCTTATTCTTTGGCTTATTTTGTCCTCCTTTTGGTCCTTTATCTGACTCATACTTTGTTCAAGGAGACTTTGGAGAGAGTCATCCTCTGTGTACCTTTGCTCTATGTTAGCAGCCTTGCAGTGGTGGAGTCTGCTCTGCCTAATAAAGACAAGTTATGGTAATATTCACTTAACAGCAGTCTTGACATCAAACCATCAATGAAACGTTGTTGCCCTAAATCCAGACAAATTTCTAATGTGTAGTAAAATCAGGAAGAGTTGAATAGAGATTAAGAATGTTGGGGGTGGTGGGGAGAAAAAGAAACAGCTGTTTGAGCCTGGAGTACCACAGTTGGAACTGAACATCATTAGGGGACAGTGGGGATGTGGAGGGAGTAGGAAAGACGAGTGGATAAAGTATTTTGTGACCATGGGTGTTCACTCTTCCCTGCTGTGCCTGCTGGGATCATCATCTTTGAACACAATTGCTTCTGTTCCACTAAACTTAGTGGTCTGTCATGTCTGATCCTGCAGTCTTTCTGTTGTGCATGTGCCTCTTGGATAACATACACAATTGGCATAATAAAGCTCAGAAATGTCTCAGGTTGTGCAGAGAAATGGAGGAAACAAGGATGAGAACTGTCATTTGAAAACCAGATCAGACTCCAAGATTTTTCACTTGTACTTTTAGTCTTGTTTGCTATTATTACCTTAGGTCCTATAACACTTTTATTTTGCTTCCTCCATTCCCCTGTTTCTTGCAAAGTAGGATTTTTCTAAGGAAGAAAATCTTTAAAATAAAATCTTTCTTTAAGAAGAAAATCTCTTAATCCTTGTATGTCGTGGCTGCAGGATCTTTCCCATGGAAAGAGAAGAGCATGGGTTTTTAGGCTGATGCACCCTTGATGGTTGGGGTCAGGCTTAGCCTGGTGATCACTCAGGAAATTCTGTGTAATAAAGTAGGTCCATGGTGAAGCCAACATCAGGATCAGGGCCAGGGTTGAGAAGGTATGAGACACAGCTGCCATGCAGGGGCAATCTAACACAGGTGGGGTAAAGGGCAAGACTATTGTAATCAAAGTAGCTGTTGACGTAAAGAGGGGCAGGCCTGGGCCAAGAGTGCAGCTTCTTTACAGAAGTTCTTAGCAATGAACAAGCTGACCTTGAACTCAGAAGTGCTTTTTAAAGCCCTAGAATAGGGATGGTGCACTCAGGGTGTTGAAATTTCTCAGCAGGCCTCTGTGTAACCCATGCTGCAGTCCTAGCCATGGAAGCAGAGCAACAACTGCAGCAGGGTGTACTACCTTTGCACCTGCTTTTCCTAAGTGCTTTTCTCCAAGCCTCCTTTCTGCTACTTATGTGTGGGGAGCTTCCTTGATTTCTGTTAGGGTTATGCTCTTCATCTTCCATTCTTGTTTCGGAGACTGCACTTCTGTCAGTGTCCTGGGAAGTCCTGGAATCATCGTCTTCTCATCATCTTCCCAGGGCACTTTTTTGGCATTGGCACTGCCTAGAGTGAAAGAGGAAAAAGTTGCTCTTCCTGTGACAAACACATGCAAAGTAAGTTCTAATTACTGCCTTGAAAAGTCAAATATTTGTTGCAAGCAGAGGACTAATTGTGGGAGGAGGGAGCGGAAGTCGAGGCTCTTGGAGTGTAAGTGGAACAGATGCCCGGACGCCTTGGGGAAACGCAGCTTTCCTCTACAAATCAGAGCTTTAAATTACAAGGCTTTTACCAACGAGAACAGTTGTGGGAAGTCGTCTGCTCTCATTTGCGTAATGGCTTCTGTCACTGGTGATTAGACACAGGATGAAGGAAAAGAAATTTGACAATTAGGAATGAGTGATCATTAATCAGAATCTTTGTTAGAAGGAGGGAATGGGGGGAGAATATTCCACAAAAAATGGAGGCAGCCACTCTAGAGCCACAGTGAAGTCCATGAGATGTGTAACTGAGTGCTACTGTTGCTCTAAAGAGTCCCCTTTGCCCAGGTATAGAGCAGGGTCTTGGCTTGATTTGAAACTTTGTGCAGGAAGGCAGCTAGGCAAAATCCTTCCCATGCTGTTCAGTGATTCTCAGCTAGTAGGGGAGAGTGCAAATCCTGGAGGCCTCTCCTTGCCTCATCAACACCTTGCATTTCCTTCTGAGTGCCTAGCTGCAAACTGGCAGGAGAAACCACAGAATCACCTTATTAAATTATTTGCATTCTCTCCCCACATCCTGCAGTTTCTGGTGCAGAGGAGAATAGGTACTGTCCTTGACTGGTATGCATAAAGATAAGGATGAGCAATGTGAAAGCAGTTCCAGGCTCTTTTCCTTATAATGTTATTTTCTACAAGAGCAAGGAAGAACTTGATGGGCTGCATGACAGGTGAAAAAAAGAAGGCAGTTGCAACTTCTCTCTGTCGTTTGCTGGCTTAGCTCATCATCCAGCCATGCACAATCCAGTATATGCATTTGTTTGCATTTGATCAAATTATCAGTACACATGAAGTCTCTTACCTGCTTTTTCTAGACCTGTCATTCATAGTCTTGTCAGGTTATAAACATTTTGGTGTGGTTTACATGAAGAGGCACTGCCTTTGATTACATTATCAGCTGATAACTTGAGAGGGGGGATGGCAGACCATTTGTGGGGCATATAATGTTGGTGCATCTTAACATTTAGTTTATTGGAGTAATTGATTTAAGTGACAATTCCTGTCTTTGCAAGGCTGTGTCATTCACTTGAGATGGAGGTGTCCATCAGGGTCTTTATTCTTCCTGTGACTGGAAATCAGAGCAGATACCTGCAAAGGGGAGAGCTGAATATTGTTGGCTTGATCCCAGCTGACTCT